AGAAATAGTCAAAGCCCAAAATTAAGTCTTTTCAAAAGACTAATAATCACCCTGTACCAATAATTAAGAACAACAGAAAGAGGGCTGAAATAACCAATGCCAGGAGTGAAAAAGGTGAAATCACTACCTATTCTAAAGGCAGAAAGGATATCTGGCTCAGTGCAGTGGCTCACACCTGTAATCCTAGTACTTTGGAAGGCCGAGGCAGAAGGATCACTTGAGGCCAGGAGTTTGAGACCAGCCTGAGTGACGTAGTGAGACATCGTTTTCTACAAAAAATATAAAAATTAGCTGGGCATGGTGGCTTGCATCTCTAGTCCCAGCTACTTAGGCAGCTGAGGCAGGAGGATTGTTTGAGCCCAGGAGTTTGAGGTTGCAGTGAGCTATGATGATGCCACTGCCCTCTAGGCTGGGCAACAGAGCGAGACCTTGTCTCCAAAAAAAAAAAACTATCAATAATTTGAAAATTTTTACATGAAATGGGAAAATTCTTAGGAAATACAACTTTTACAAAAGCTAATGCAAAATAAAATAGCAAATCAGAATAGTCTTTTAATGACAATTTGTAATTTAAAATTTTCCCACAAAGGAAATAGCAGACCCAAATGACTTCACTGATGATTCTATGAAATAATTAAGGTAAAAATACACATTTCGTACACAAACTTTTCCAGAAAATGGCAAAAGACTTGTTTCTCCGACTTGTTTTGTGAAGCCACCATAACTTTATACCAAAACTGACAAGGAACAGAAATGGAAAATTACAGGCCAGTCTTACCCATGAAATGACTGTAAAAATTCCAAGAAATAGAAAACTAAATCCAGTAGTATTATCATTTTTGGACAATTAATCATAACCAAGTTGACCTTATTTTAGGAATGCAAAGTTCATTTAACATTTCAAAATCATTCATGTTAAAATCATTTACGTCATCATATTAAAAGAAGGAACTAAAATTATGACCATCTTAGGCAGAAAAAACATTAGATAAAAATTAAATATGCATTAATGACATAGCATCTTAGCAAACTAGGAATAAATGGGAATTTCCTAATCCTGGTAAAGATTATCTATGAAAAGAACTAAAAAACAAATTTAATATTGGAATACTGAAAGTTTTTACATTGAGATTAGGAACAACAAAGATGACTATTTTGACCATTTGATTTAGCATTACATCATACTAAGTGTAGTAAGGAAAAAATTTTACTAAGAT